CTGAAACCGAAACAAAGCATGCCTGCCTGTCTTCAGAATCCTTCCAGCGCCCCCTCCTGCTTGTCCAGGGCTCCCCTTGGTGTGACTCCCGAGGCCCTGTGGTCTGCCCTCAGATTCCTTCCAGGCTCCCCTACTCCAGGCCTCAACACGCAGCAGCCACCACAGGCTCTGCAGACATTGGCTCGTTTCCCAGAGGTCCTGGATTTTCTGGCCTTCGGTTCCTCCAGCCTGACGTTCCTTTCCCTCCTTCTCTCCTTTTACCACGCTCACTCCCACCTACGCCTGCTGAAACTCTTCCGGGCCTTAGAAGCTCATCCATAAACTCTCTAACGACACATACCCCATGGCCTCTGCCGGTAAAACAAGTGCATGGTCTTCTCATGACTGTCTGCTTCAGATGGCCTGAGCCCTGGTGTGTGTTCCCTTAGACTGTAAACTCCGTGGGGACAGGGCTCATGTGCTCATTAACATCCTCCTACCTAAGAATCTTTTCGTTTTTTTTCTACATAAGAATCCTGAGAGCAGCTCCTGGTCTCTGCACTGTCCCAGGTTCTGTCTCTGCTGTTTCTCCACTGTCCCCCTGCATGGGCTCTTCAACCACACCCTCAAGCTGACTCCTCCCACGCTCGCGTCCCAACCGCGGACGGCTTCCGGTCCCTGCTGAGCAACTGGATGCTTCCCTGGCCCCCCAGTGCAGAGTCTAGGACATGACTCATGATGCCCTCCCACCCCCTAACTCTCTTTTTCTTCTGGTGTTGCCTTTTGGGTAACAGTATCACCATCAAGTCACTCAAGCTAAACAAACCCCACTCTCCTCCCTCCAAATGCTGTGGAGCAGACGTTGGGCAGCTCTCCGATCACTTCCTTTCTCCGCACTCCCATACCAATCACTTCACTGGATCCCACAGGGGCTCCTGAGCGGCCTCCCTGACGGACTCCAGGTTCTCCTTCCAAGCCATCTAAACACTGCTGGCAGGAGACCTTCTAAAAACACATCATCCTCTTATGCAAAACCCTCACACACAAAGGCCTTAGCATAGGATGCAAAAGTCCCCCCAGCGGCCAGAAGCACCTCCTTCTTCCTCCTGAGGGGTCCTGCCTGTAAGTGGCCCATACCATCCCTTTTGCTGAAAGCCCCCCCGTCCCCTCTATTCTAAGCTCCCCACTGGCTCTAAGAGGTCCCTCTCGTGCCTGTCCTCCATGGCACCTCAATTCTGAAGTGAGCCGTGCCTGGAGTTACACATGTGTGTGTCTGCCCTCATCACCAGAAGCAGGTTCACCCCACTCTTCTGTGAACTTTCCATCCTTGGACTAGGAGGGCGGAGATGGGGCTGGGCACACTCACCCTGAGTCCCCCAGTGCCAATGGTGGTAGGCATGTGGCTTAGAGAAGCGGTTAGGAGTGGGACTCCTCCTCAGCCTGCCTCGCACCGTGCTCTGAATCCAGCCAGCATTCAAATATTTGTGAAATGAAACAGAAAAGACACATAGCTCGAAAAATGAAGGCACTGCATCTGAAAACCCGAAACGAAGCCTGGATTTTCCTCACTGGCTTCAGCAGCTCACACTGCCTGCGCTTAGCCTGCAGCCGCTCAGCTCTCCTCCGTTGCCTCCTGCTAAAGGGCAGTAGCCCAGACAAACCAAAGACACACAAGAGTGTGCTGCAGGCTATGGGGCCGGCTGTGGGAATCAGAGAAGGCGAGGAGGGAATGGCCCAGCCTCCTGCTGGGAAACATTCCACTAGGCACAAGCCCACACTGGGCACAAGCCCACACCCAGAGACCCAGGAGTCCGCATCCTCCGACGGCTCACACTCGCGCTGTGTTCTGGGGCCGCCCCCTTGTGCTGAGGACCTCTGGGAGCCTCTGCCATGCTCTGTGCTGTTGATTACCCTCCTGTTGTAGGAGGCTATCTTTTAAGAGAAAGTTCAGATATTCAGAATAAGAAACACAAGTCCACTAGACAACCACAAAGATCAAAACACAACCAAACTCCTCCATCATGAAGCACAGTATCGACAAAGTGAATCAGCTTTGCGAGGCCACAAGGAAAGTTTTCATAAAACCCCTTCTCAATCTTACAAGCTTCTCTGTGGAAAACCCATGCTAAATGTTACAGGTCTCTGAACAATCAAAGATGCTAATGTTAAAAGCTCAAAGGTAGAGGCCCAGCCTGGAAAAGAACTTTCCTTGCAGAACCACACTCATGGAGTGGTTAGTCCTGTGACTTACAGCTGGGGTGCTTCCTGTTCCAGGAACACAGGACCGGTCTGCAGGCCCCGAAGGAGGGTCCAGATTGCCATGGTCCCTTGGACCCGCCCTTCCCAGGCCTCTGGGTCTGGCTAGAGCTCCCCAGTGATGCCACCTGCTGCTTCACTGGGTGCATGTGAGAAGCGCCCAGCAGAAACCCACTGGGCTTCCCTGACATTCTTCCAGCAGCCCCCACTCCCAGACGCTGGGAAGTGCACTGTCTCATCACCTGCCCTCTGGCTGCCTCATTCTCCAGAGTCTTATTAATTTTCCAGACGGCTCAAAGCCATGGGTTGCGGGTGGGGGAAGGGTGGGAAGGGGAGAGAGGGGCTGCCCAGGAAGGAGGATTAAGCTAGACTTTATTTCTGGCACTGATTTCTTAGGCCCTTAAAGAGTAATCAAAAACTATTGGAAACATCTGTGTACTTGACAGGACATAAGAAATAAAAATCAAGCATGTTCTGCCAAAGAATCATATACAGAGTTAAAATTCCTTTTTAAAGGCTTTTGAGAACTTGTTAAGAAAATCCAAGAACAGAATAATATTTCAAACGGCACTACAATTATTTTAAAAATCTTCCTATCTCCCAGTAAATCAAGTGGCTTTACCCAAAAAGAGGGGACCCACACCACTAAGGGCAGGATTAAATGGGTGTTTTCCAGTCCAGAGAAGCGCTGTCCTGTGGATGTGCCTCAATGCTCACATTTCAGTATTTTTAACTTCTTGCTACAAAACATCTTTGAAACCAGGTTTGCTAATTAAAAAAAAAAAACAAAAAAACTTTTTTGTGTACAAAAGACTTGTAATAACTACTTTGAGGAAGCAATGCAA